AGCACGAGGGCTGGGATACTGCCAGGTTGCCCAGCCTAGACAGAGGAAGTCGAGAGGCAGAGTTCGAGTTCGAACCAGGGAACTTCCGGTCAGTAAGTTCGCGCTCTAACTACTTGGGCCATCTCATACTTTTGAGGCTCGTAGTGAGTCTTCCATGATCGTATCGATGACGATTCATTTTGGGAAAGTGGGTTTCTCTCCACCACATTATCGTTATCAACTGTCATCTCTGTAGAATTTTGATATATTGAATTGAATCTGACCCATCATCGTCAATCAGCGCATGACGTTAAAACAACGAAGTGGGTTAGTTGTCTGAGAAATAAATCTCTCATAAGATTTGTCCGGAAAGTATTTTCGAAAAGAGGTCGAAGTCTTGATTGCTCAATCTTATTTTTCTTCCTTTATGTACTTATCCAAAGACCTACTGCTGTGTTCTACCCTGTGCATCCATTTGCAGATCGAAGGACCAGTCTCTTCCTGTTGATGATGAGGACCATCTTGGGATAAGGCAACCTTCTCCCACACCCGTTTCGGATCCAAACACACCGCTAATTAACGTAGGTTCTTGCATCTGGCCGTGTTTTGATTGCAAAGCGGCTCTCGTCAGTGCGTAATGAGCTGACTGCCTCTTTTCGTACTTATCTGTCTTGCGCCTAGCATGACTGATTTTCAGGGAGCTCAGATGCTCTACTCCAACCTTCAATTCCCGATCCTTTTCGTCTCTGTTGAAGAAATCTGACAGTACTCTAGCCCTCGTGTTTCTCATTGGTTTTCTGGCAACAAAGAACCAAAATGGTGCTAGAATGGAACGAGCTGTCTTGATTTTGTGACTAACAGAGCCGCCGTGTGATAGGCTGTTCACCCAAATACATTTCACACCATCCTTCAGATACTTGGTTGGTTGGTGTGACAGTTAATCCGTGAAACAAACTCGTTTGGTCTGCGGTCGCTCATTTTCAGAGTGTATTATTCCGTGTGCACCTGGGATATTGCTATATCCACGCTACTGTACTGTGCAAAACCATCCAAGTGTTTATGCACACAGTTTCGATCGGTATTAGTTTCCATTAGATTGTTCTTAGTCCTTGGTCGCAGAAAGCACTCTATGGTAGGATCTCACCTGTTTATATGCAGCAGTTGTCACCTCTCTTAAACCGAACAAACAAGTTCTGGTGGACTGATGTTGACTGCTACCAGGAGTGAAGACTGCGGGCTAAGTATTCGTTCTGAAAGTTTGTCGTTCACTAAGACTGAATGTGATGTGATTGTAGGTTTAAGGTGTGGGCTACTCGCCGGAATGCCCATGGTTGTATATCCTTCGATAATTCTTTGTTTGGTCCTACTTCGGTCTGGTGATATATTAGGATCACCCCCTCCTGTTGTGTGACACCTTTAAACCGACCGGACAACACAGTTGAACTGTTTTTATTCCTGTTGTGTAACGTCTTACGTGTTTTCGCTTCAGCTGAACTCGTTTGCTCCAGCTCGACCTGCTCCACCCGTACCTCAGCCGCCTGCATTACCTCCGCGGCCAAAACCACAAGAATAACGCCAAACAGTCCCATTCCAAATCTCATTTACTCCCCAACATGATGCACTTATTTATGTCAGCCAATAGTCAAATTGATTTCCAACGTGATATCTTGAGCACACACTTACCAGCATTCCGTTGTCTCCGTTTTTTTCATATCTCTTATACTGATCGTTATTTACCTTTATTTTACTCGGGACTCACAAAACATTCACTGGCTGTTCGCCCTCCCCAAACGTTCGTATTCCCGGTTGCGGAGACGTGATCCATCTCACAACTCCGAATCTATCCATGACTGCCACTTTTTATCGAATGTCCTTTCAAACAGACCGGTCCTTTTGAGCCCCTCTAGGGACCCTGCTGGGTCGGAACATCAGTCACAGCTAATAATGGAGATGGACAGTTGTTATTGGTCACCCTTCCCATTCACCGTAACATTTTTGCCTAATCAATCGCAGCTGTCTGATTTCAAATTATACCTTACTTCCGTATACGTGTGAGTTGATTCATTTATATCAGATTCCAGTGAAAACTAACGATTGCTTATCTGCGGAGCGCATTTTAGTTGAAAATCTAACGTATCTGAATTGTTGTCTACACTTTTGCTATATGTTAATTATGGAAAGGATGACTAAGCAGTATATTCGTTATCCTAACCAGCTCATTGTTGCCTAGGTGTTCGTGATGATGGTGCAGAGGTATTCTAGTTTTTTTTAAAGTGAGGATCTGTATGGTTATGCTGACTACATTACAGGAGCACCATTGATAGTTCTGTTTACTGCATTACGTCTAACGTTTGATGTTTCACCTCTCGAGAATTCGATCTAAGAATACAGCAGATAGAGCTCGAGATACCTCAGTGGTTAACGTGCCAACTTACTGACCAGAAGGTCGCTGGTTCGAAGCCAACCTATGCATCTCGATGGATTCCATTTGGGCTTGGATGATCTGGTAATATCCTAGCCCTGGCGCTTCCTTCGGATGCAGCCAGGCACCGAAAAGGTGTTCCAGCTGAACCATTGTTTCTTATGCGGTAGCATCAAACACAGCTGAGGTATCCAGTCAGTACTGCGATGATGTATTTGCCCATGCGTTGGTTTCTTAAGGGGTGATGTTAAGTTAAAATGGCTGTCAATGAAGGTGTGTGAACAGCCCCATCATGCTAGATTCGTTGATTGTTTTTTTTCCTGAGGATAGATCATTTTTACGAGACTTTTGCAGATTTCCCCGGACCGGATGACATGAATGTCATGCGGGTTCTATTTCGCTTGTGACTGGGATACGAATCCGGATCACCTTAGCATACTGACCGGCACATGTTGGTGCGTTGGATCATTTCCTAACCAAAACAAAAGTATAAGCTAAGATCTGGCAAGTTGACCCAAAGAAGATATGAACTCTATTTCGTCCCGCTGCCTTGTGGGCCAGATTCTTCTACCCATGACTCGAATCCAGCCCCTCCCTCGAGCTGTATCAACCGGAACTATTTTGACCACACGACTGTAACACACTGACTTCTGGAGACCTATTAGACTTATTTTAATTAGTGTTAATTTCATGATGGGGACAGTATTACTACCTCGCCGCTGGTGTGTAAGATACTCATTTGGAAATCCATTAAGAGTGCCTCAACATCACCGAGATTTCTCGAGCATCCTGATCTATGCACCAAGAATGCTGGTACGTGGACGTACGTACCACGGCGTCTAAGTCCCTACATTCTAAGTCAAAATCTATAGCAACTTCACGCCTAAATGTGGGGACGATGGGAACCTCTCCGGTTCTACCGAATCAATATGCAATATGATTTACGTTTGCCCATCAAGGTGGCTACCGTTCCGACCTCGTGGTCGGAACAAGAATAAGATCTCTGTTCGTTCCAGGAAAACCCCATTTCTCTAAACAAGATCACGGTTTTTATCAGTGTACGCAAAACGTTGCTGGATGCTGCTCTGTATTAGTAATGTGAATACGATTGAGTTCTTCTGTTACTCGTGCCACTCGGAAGCGCTCCCATCGTTTATCATCATGCTGGCTGAGAAAATTAAACCTCACCGACTGGATGACCTTCGTCTACGCTGACCACTTTTACACTGCACGGTACTCAGATAATGAGTTTTGTAAACTGAAGTGAATCCGGACGGTTAGCTTATCATGTTACCTCGTAACTTGTTGTCACCACAGGCTCTGCGTTGCCTTCTTTCTTCACAGTTGCGTTTTCCAGTGACATCAGTTAACTGCTTGGCAAGTAGGGTGCTTCAGGTATGATGCCATCCAGTCACACTGTGTGGAGCTCACACCTAACAACAGTGAATTGTTCAGCTTGATTAAGAACTTTTTAGGCACAAAATTCTTCAGCTTAGTGACTGCCTTCGGACGCTCACCATGGGAGTTTGTTGATCATGTGGTTGTTAGTGTTAACCAAAGAGGCTATGCTTGGTTACTTTACGTAACAGCTGAGGGACGAGCGGCTCCTTTCATTGATGTCTACAGCTTCGATTAGCAGCTGATTATAGAGACTCTATAGATTTCGATTCAGTGGTATATACACCATAGGCAGCAGTTGGAACCATGCGTTGTACGTCGGACTTAACTTGACTGAATGTGAACTCAGGGCGAATCTCTTCAGACAATTCCCTGGGTTTAGTTTATGGAATCTTTGGACAAAAAGTGTTGCTGGGTAGTATGTGAAAGATAATCATTCAACTGTGAGACCATTCCGGTGCCTAGCTGCCATGCCATCTGTACTTAGAAAAAGAAACAGTCATCAGTTCTTCTCAAAGAAGGAATTCCCATATCTCAGATGATTATACCAGTGGTTTTAAAGAGGGCTTGGTCTTTCTCACCCCCCCCCCAACAGACATACTTCCAGCTAGTTTTTAAACCTTTGGCCTACTCTAGAGGTAAGTAAATCAGTTAGCAGGCGGTCGATTGAACCAAAATCGAGTGAGTCTGGTCCTCTTCAGAATGAGTGTACTAAGCATCTTGTTCCACTGTCGTGCGAATAATGCTTGATGATATTAACTGGCCATGCATGGAAGTGCATACAGCAGATGACCTCAAGTCAGGTAAAAACTCTGTGTGGTCGTTTCTGATTTGTGCTGCATAGTGTTGGGTTTGGCGAAGTAAGTCAGTGTAGTTCAAGACGGTCGATAGTAATCATGCATAACTATATACGTGCGCGAGCAGGATGATTTGCATGATCTCATTCATCCAAATTCATGAGAGTGAAAAATTAATGCACTTCAACCGTTTTGAATCTAAACAGACCAGGTTCATTTTCACATTATCACAGGGTTAAACCTAAAAATGTCTGTTCCTGGCTTTTCCAAGTTATTCTCGTGATACGTTACACAGCGCGCAAAGCGGTTCACTCGGCTGTCATGTTTAGGTGCAACATCAAACGAGACGAATTTAATACGCATCTGAATTCCAGTCAGGCTGTAAAGTAGTTGAATGTTAACTGTCAGTTGGTGCGAGTCGACGACACTGCTGATCAGCCGCTCGTGGCTAAACAGTTTAATTTTCAACTGCTAACTAGGAGGTTGCGAGTTTGAGTCAGTCTGGAGACTCGTGGCATGCACACAACTGATGTTACTCGATAGGGATAAAGCAACTGTACAGTGCTTCTCGGCCTTTTAGCAAAGCATGGCTTCACACACATTACAATATCTTGATTGAAGAAAAACCATCGCGTTTTCTTTTTCGACGTTTTTTTAGACTTATGATCCAAAGACACACTGACCATCAGTTGTTATCTTTCATCAGCTCGAACTACTTGAATTAAAATTGAATTGTTAAAATTATACTGAACAAGGATAACAGATCAGTTATTTTTTATCGCGCATGTCAACAGAAACCATAAATCTGTGGACGGTAGACTTCAGTAAGCTCCATTTGTACAATGAAGTTTGGTTCAGTGCAGCTTTTGCAGAATCCATAAGAAATTATAGAGATTTAGAAAGTCCATTCTGGTAAAAGGACGTGTCTTTAGAAAAGAACTTTGACGGCTAGAGGTGCTTTACAATGAATGCAGCTTCGTTACAGTTCGCGACCGAACGTTTCACGAATCAGTCACCAATCTAAAGGGGAAACGGATTTCTCGCTGTGAAACGAACGATGTTGAAACCATAGATCCCTCCAAGGGACCAAAGTCTAGAAATACTGCGATTGGTACCTTAGAAAGCTCACTCATTATTTGCTCCACTCAGTGACGCTTGGAATCTATCTGGTCTATGCTATCATCCGGCACTGCGTTCGACCGTATTTTTTGTGGATCATGAGATTTATGGCCTTTCGTTGAGGACGGGATGCCCCTCGGGGAACAAACTCGCAGACCGAACGTGAAGGCAGACGATTGTCAGTACAGAGATAGGAAAGGGCATCTTAGGCGTCGAATGAGTGATCGCGATGGAAGGATGATAACTGCAAGACAGTGGTTGCGGCAAGTCGTGGGTGCCTGTGAGTGACAACATGACAGGAGTATGCTGAGCACATCAAACGAATGTTTCGAGTGTGTAACTTCTACGGATCACGCAACCGGCTACAACTAATAAGAGGTTGTCCAGCAGGTTTCAGTCGCCCGTGGAGCTGACTGGAGATCCTGATGGCCGGATCGACCAACTGACACAACCAAGGTAGATAGTAGGTCGTCGTTGGACGATTAAATCATCGCTCAAGCACGAACAAGTTCGCATGTTCAGAAGGGCTAATTGAGGTGCGTCCAGCTTGAACTGGTGAAGTAATGTGAGCGAACTTGCCTACCATATCATGAGTTCAGATCCCCGGGAGGAGGTCAAACATACGGATTGCTGGCGAGCTGTAGTAAAAGCAAAACTCGAGTCCGATGCTTCTTTTATTTGGCGTGGACTCATCAGAGTAACTACGCCGGGATAGGACTGTTCAGAAGATAATGATGAGTAACATCCCCACAAATCTCACGACTACCTCCAAGGACTTTGTTCGCAAGACCGTTCTTACCAATAATGGAAGACCTTAAATTGAAGGTGTGTAGTACTGTGCTGGAGACATGTAAGGAATTCACACCACAGCTAACAAAACTCTCAGGTGAAACATTCAACTTGAAGGGTTTCAGCTTCACACTAGTTTCTCACACACTTGACCTGGCCAAAAGTTCTTTTTGTAAAATCCGATATGTTTGTACCCACGGGTGCATTACATAAAGATGGTGCAACCCAACACTGGTCGGACCGACTGACTCATTTCGTTGAGCACCTAGAGTAAAGGTAATCTTTCGCAAATGGACATCTAAGTGCATCGACTATATTGACGGAATTGACCGGAAACTGACCTAAGAGTGCATCTGCCAGCTATTATCTCGTGAACTTTTGCAGAGACACTCTTCAGTTTGTCCTAAATGCCGTATACAGGTTTACGTCTGGACGATATAGCCGGTATCGACAGATCGATGGGCAGGTGGGACTACCCCTTGAGGTGCGAGCACCTTCGACTTCAAAATACGCGACCACAAAACAAGTGGGGAATACATTCGCGGCACGAAACGAACTCATTGTGCCTAACAGTGATCGATGTGCCACGACCTACTCGAACTGCACTGACCTCACAGCTGCAATATATCTTTGCCTTGTCTACGTTATCAGACTCTCGATCCAATTTGGGCATTGTGGTTCCATATCCCCAGAAAATCCTGATTCAAAAGCCCACTTTACGAAGCTCAGTGTAGTCACGAGCATTTTGTAATCATAGTCCCATAGAAAAACGTCCAGAATATGTTCGAAAGCATTCTCAATTATCATGCTTCTACGGGAATCAGTATCGTATCAATAGAATAAACGAGAGAATTCCTGTATTCAGGACCTATTGACAACCGAGACCATTTCGACCCTAAAATCCAGTTTTAATAGGGGAAGATGATAACGCGAGTTCTCACGGTTCGCCAGCGATAAACATAAAACAGCAGTGTGATAGCTCTCTGCAAACAACCGAAACTTATGTCGTTCACCCTTCAGAATACAACCACTAATCCAATGCAACCGAACTGACTGGGCACCGGTACAATATTTACAACTGACTGTTCCAGTCTTCCTATCAGAATTAAGACGTCGACCTTCCCTGATATGAAGAAATGCCATCGGTTCCTCGAACGTTTCGTACTGTTGAGAAATATGACCAACAAATTTATTTGCTAAAACGTTTTCGCCAACACTAACAGCATTGCTTCACTGGAAGTGCTCATGGTAAGCAAGTAGGTTCAGAAAAACGGATACCTACCAGGTGAATAAAATCAGTCTTGGTAAAGTTACACCTTTCTTCTTTTTCGAAAAGGTTTGGTGACAATCGGTTGAACACTTGCATGCACAACTGAGTACTTACAAACTGCCATATGGATTAGCTTCGATTCAATCAATCATACACATTTTCCTCTAGAAATCTCGATCAGAAACACCTTTCTCTTTTTCGAAAAGGTTTGGTGACAATCGGTTGAACACTTGCATGCACAACTGAGTACTTACAAACTGCCATATGGATTAGCTTCGATTCAATCAATCATACACATTTTCCTCTAGAAATCTCGATCAGAAGGCGTGAGCGGGTGAGAAGCGAACGACGGCAAACCATTGGGTTCTGATAAGAGTGGTACCACTGGCAATAATTTGTACTAATCATTTTTTGGGGAGACCTCCCAATAAAAACGGCAGACCACTGAAAGTCATCTCCTCGACCTAATTTGGCACTTGTGCTGTCAAACCGACCGGCCGATCCTAAATATTTAGACGGGCACGAACCAGAGTTTTTGAAGGCGACCTAATAATCGAAGGACTGACGAATTTGAGGGAATGGGCTTGGAGGAGAACCACCCAACTCGCAGCAGAAAGCATTGCTTAAGGTGAGGTTTGATCTCCCAGAATTGAAATATCTGCCGTCGTGATGGCGTTCCGTCGAGCATCCTGGAGGAGACCGATCATCATTTGGCAGGCCATAGTTCAGCTGGGCTGGCTTCCAGGTGGTATCAGTCACACGACCTTCAAACTGCAGTTTGACCTGTACATTCTCGTATTATCCAGTTGGTACGCGAGCTGTAGACCATATAAGCAGCAGATGAACATTGGAGTCCTGGGCCAACAAGCCACTCTAGATCTGTGCCGCCAGTGCCTTGTAAAGCGAGTAACATACCCAGGTAGTCTAGACTTCCAAAGGCTGACAGCGAATCTTCCTCAGGAATTGAGATTATTTAAATATGGCATCGAGCTTTCCTTGCAGTGACTTCAGAAATTTTACTGAAATAAACATCGTCTTTCCGGCACCGGAGGAAGCTTTTGTGCGATATTCGTACCTACAGTCAAAAGCACACTAGTTTCATAAGTTACCCAAATATCCTACCGTTCTCCCCACCATAAATCTGGGTACGCCTCTGTTTCTATGCCTCTCAGCATAGTTGCATGCAATTCCCAGAGGTTCCATTGATTAGAGCTACGGTCGATAGTGGGCTCCATGTAGCCCAGTGGTTAAGGTGCGGACTTACTGACCGGAAGGTCCGTGGTTTGAACCTAACTCCGGCATCTCGACAGCTCCTGGCTAGGCTTGGGCAAGCTGACAGTAAATCAGCCCTTGTGCTTCCGGGTAGTATGACAGCTAGGCACCGAGAAGGTGTTACATCTAAATTATTCTCATTATTTTCATTTGATGTTACTGTCAATCATGCTAACTGCAGCCGTCACGAAGAGACTGGACCTCGCCGTGGAATCTCTCATCCAGGTTGGTCAATGGTTAGAGGTCTGACGAACAAGGTCTCCTGGCCCTCCAGGTTGGGGGTTGGAACATGTGGCGACTTTTTTCGTAGAAATGGTAATGCATTTGCATTTCCCACCAAACACCGCTGCCTTGTGGTTAGGCTTTTGAGCCAAAGGCTTTGGTTGAGGACCCTAATCGTCCTCCTGTCTAGGTGTGGGCGCCCTGGCAGTATCCCAGCCCACGTACAACCATGAACTGCACATATACAAATAAACTCATGCCACATAGGCCGTCGCGTGGTGCCATCAGCCGGGTCGCCTTACTTGCTGCATACAGTAGGGTGGGTAAGCGAAAACAGGCCACTGCTGACGCCTCCCTTCTTCTTCACATGTTTTTCTTCCCCCTCTCCCCATCCCATTAATAATCCTCTCCTTGTAGGCCCAGCATTTAGGACTGATGACTCCGATCGTCATACATCAGTTTTGCGTGCAGCATCTGCTCCTCACATGGTGCCGACATCTTCAGGAATCTCCAAATCAGTTCTCAAGCCTCGACACCCACTCTGGCCGCGTTCAATGTTCGCACTCTGAAGCAAGCAGGACAACAAGCTGCTCTTGCACTCACACTGGACTCGCTTGGCATTGATGTGTGCTGTGTCTCAGAAACGAGAATTCAAGATGCAAGCACAATGATTGAGTTAACCGCCCCGTGAGTCTCCACTCGCTTCCGTCTGCGCATCTCTGGTGATCCAGAGGCTGCTGCGGGGGGATGTGCAGGGGTTGGTATTGTGCTAAGTCACCGGGCGGAAGTATCCTTACTTGA